CCATATCTCTGAGTTTTGAGTGGGCGCATGTCGCCAGTGTGCTGCGTTACTGTTTACATGTGTGAAAAGTGTGTTTGAAAACGAGTCTGATTGCAAATCACCTGTGAGGTTCTCTCTTGTGATTCCCAGTGTTTCTGGGTTGGGGTCGAATGACATCAAGCCAAGCTAAGGCGATATAGTTCATGGGTTTTCCTCTGTCAATCTTTGAACTTCTCATTTTCTTGACCCTGTTATTCATTCCATTGACGAGAAAGTTGTCTTGTGAGGCTTCACAAACCTTGGATTAGTTTTCAAGCCATGGAGGAGGTACTGACACTCAGTACCATAAAAGCTGAGTAAGGAATAACATGCCATGACCTTGTCAACAGGTTCGGCTGCTCAGTGATCCCAATCTTGTCATTAGACGGAAGGCAGTCACGGCGGCTGTGGAGATGCTTTCAACTGCAGAGAGCAGAGTGCACTGTCTTGAGGCAGGTATTTATTTGACTCTCGTCCTGTACTTCTATTTTGAATGTCCTTTTCATGTCTTTGCCATCTTCTCCGCACCCTTTCTGTTCGTCCGTTTCCTTCTCCACACCTTTTCAGTTCCTTCACCTGCTTCTCCCCTCCTTCACCTCCGATCATCCTTCTTTTTCCCTCCCTCTCCTCTCCTCCACTCTAGTGTGGCTGCTATTCATGACGTCTTAGCTGCTGTGTCTTGCAAAGAAGGGGCACAGCAAAGGGTAACGATAGCAAAAATTGCATATGAGGTGCAATCAAACCTTCTGGACAGAGACTGCCACGCATCACACACTTGCAACGAGTTCTCACGGAAAGCCGGACAAACACTGAACACGCATGAGCTCTGGGCTCAGGAAATTGTCTCGGCAACCACACAGAATTGCAGAATTGCCTTTCTTCTTCCTGCGGCTATGGCCGCCACACCACACTTGATGCAACATACAGCAACTCTAGTTACCTGAACTTACCTCTCTCATATATTCTCTCTTACTACCTGATCTGTACTCCCCCTCACAACTCACAGGTCTGAACTTGCCTGGATCTGCCTTAGGCTAGTACAGACCCTGAGCTTTACTTGCGTTGTGGACACTTGGCCCGACCCGAACTGCCTGGGTCTGCCTTAGGCTACAGACCCTGAACTTGTGCTGTGGATACTTGGCAGGACCTGAACTGGCCTGAAACTACTGGACACAGACTTTCCACTTCGGGACTCCAGAACCTTTAACTACTTCTGCTACCTACACCTGTCACGACCCTAACTGGCCTGGAATGTCCATTACAGTCTGCAGCAGAGTCAAGACTGAAACGGACTCCTACTTAAATTGTTGACACCTTTCAAGAACGGAACTTGCCTAACACATCTCAAGGTTGGAACTTGCCTAACACATGTCAAGGTTGGAACTTGCCTAACACATGTCAAGATCGGAACCTGCCTAACACATGTGTAGGCTAGATAGATTCTGAGTAGAGATAGGCAGGGCGCTGAGCGCCAATCGAGAAGGGCAAAACTGGATACTGTGTTGGTGGTGGTGAGAGGGGGCCGACATTGACATTTGAATCATTGTATCGCTCTTATTTGGCTTGTATCTCGGTGTATTGTGCTTTCTGCTTGGGGTACGACTATCTAGCTTTCAAGGTGGTATTGCAATTCGATTTTCTGTCTATCGCTCTCGCTCATATTCCTTGCAATTTGGTATTAGAGCTGGCTCAGTTATTGCCATACTGGTGCTGGTGTCTTGGTTACTTGGTGCGCTGAAAGGATACTTTGACGCTGGCTAATTGGAGTCCCTCCCAGGTAATGGAGAGTGGGATGGAAGGCTGTAGCGACAGCAGATGTCTGTGGAATGATGAGGGCACGCTGACGTGTGTGGTACTGAGGCTATGACCGGTCATGAAATGGCACGTCGGCTCAATTGGACCAGGTAAGAAATCTGCGGTTTGGGGCAGCTATCTCCAGGTACGTTGTTCCTAACCTTATCTTCCCATCTCAATCTCTTCTTACCGTGAGGGGGAGAGTTCAGCTTGAGAGTCCTCTTCTGGTCAAGAGCCGTGAGCGCTCTACCTTAAGAGTCGACATTCTTCCTGGTGGCGCATCTGGTGGGAGAGGGCGGTGCCTCTGAAGGGCCCTGGTCGAAGCACGGGTCACGGTCACCATGCCAACCCAAGGAAGTAGAGCACGCATGCTTTGCTGCATTGTCCTTTGAGCTCTTGCTGCACATAAACGGGTGTTGGGCAGGTCAGCCGTATGGGGGATCGACGTGTACCGGACCGTTGTTGAAGATACTCCGGAGGGAAACCGACTCGCACTGTACGCAAGGATAAAAGTAGTACGGACGGGGCTCGATTGTTCTTCATCACACACAGGGGTGGGCCGTTGTGCACACCATGGTCACTGCCTCTTTATTGATGCAGCCAGGACGTCGGATACAGGGGAGGGAAGGTTCCAATTGGTGCTCAATTTCCATTTCGCATGCATCTGTGCAAGTGATTTAATTTTATTTTGACTAGTTGAGGTGTTTATGGACTGCTGACACCTGAAAGACAGCAAAAGAATAGAATTGTCGCAGTCTACTATTTCCAGTCCTGTTTATTGCTGCTGTTTGAGAACTGGTCGACATAGGGGTAAAGATCATTTGCTTAGTCTGTGTACATTCTGTTCACACCACCTGATCGGTATTCTGGGTCAAGTACCAAATATTTATTTATCTATTTATTTTTTGCAACCCGGTCAGACACATGCTGTGGTAGGTCCCCGAGAGGACACTAATGCAGACAGTGATCTTCTTTAGCTGATCAGCGGACACTGCAGTGAGGAGGAGTTAAGTGACAGCAAGCGAGTGACACGACAGACGGCACGTAGGTGCCGTATGTGTATCAGACCTTACCGCCTGGTGGGGAAAGATATTTGATGTAGAAAGTGTTGCCCACAACGATGTAGGGAGGAGGCAACAGCAGTAGCGCAGGCAAGAGCAGCTGCAATGGCTACAGCAGCAGCAACCTCAAGCACGCAGTCTGTATCGTAAGTTTCTTCCAGCAGGGGGATGAGTACAGGTACTTCCTCCAGTCAGATTGTTGGCTCGCAGTACAGCCAACATACTTAACTCACTAGAGAAGCCTTAGAGGCTCAGGAAGCAGAGAATATTCACCTTCAGCTAGAGAACGAACTCAGAATGCTACCTTCAGAGCAAATAGAGCAAAGCTTAGGCAGACTAGACTAGAGACCAGGGAGCAAGATAGGGCTGCATTAGAAGGGTCAGATGACTCGGCCCTTGACGACACTGGTAAGGTGCTCAAGGCGGGTATGCTGAGTATGTATGAGTACATGGACAGCAAACTGGATGATATTCAGTCAACCCTAGACCAGATACTTAGAGCCATGCGGGGGAGGGGAAGACCAGTCCCATCTACAACAGGCAGACCTAGTGTCAGGGCGCAGCCATCTGTCCTATCACCATCCACACTGCCGGTGATGTCAGGCACCTTCGTCCCTCAGTTTGGTCTTATACCAGGTGGTACGGCATCAGCAGGTGTGCAGATTGCTGCTTCTTCATCTTCACCATTAGCTGCTCCAGCCGCAGGGCAGCAGCCGGTTCAGCCACCTGTGCAGCAACAGGTCCCAGCTGGACCACAACAAGACCCCGTTGTCTCCTCCTGAGACCTTTTCAGGGGACAAGAAGGAGGAGAACCTCAACACTTGGTTGAGGACGGTTCCAACATGGGTGACGGCCAAGCGGACGTTGACCGGCCAGGAAATAGTTGTGGCTGCCTCATACCTAAGAGGTTCGGCAGCAAGATGGAGATGGCTTAGTTGCAACCCATGACTTCGGTAGGAAGTTTGATAATTGGGCACACACCCAAACATTAGACGTGTTTCTAGAGTGGGTAGAGGAGCGGTGGCACAACCCTCAGCAGGCACAGCAGGCCATCGATGCATTGGCTAGATTGGACACGAAGGAGTAAAAGACGGCCTGCGAGCTCACCAATGCCTTAGAGAAACTAATCGTTGTCATAGCTGTGCGCTGTGATCCACAGGTCCTGCTGACCATGTATCTGCGATGTCTTCCCATAGACATCAAGAACATGCTGGTCAGCGGGGCTTGCATCGACGTGCACGATCTTGCTTCCTTTAGCAAGAAGGCCTTAGACTTGGAGGCAAAGCTAGGGGGCGGGCAACAAGTTGCTGTACATGGGAGGAAGAAGAAAGTCCTGCAGGATTGGAAGAAGAAGGGTAGCTGTCTCATGATGATTGATTCTTATGGGAAACAGGAGGAGATCAACGACATTTCCAATCTTGTGGATGAGACAGAGTTAGGCGTCGAGGAGAGTGTTGAGGGAGGAACTCTCACTGTAGCAACCAAACGAACGGCAGCTGGCCAGCGTAAGTGTGGCCAGCAGAAGAGTCAAGGCAAGACTCAGGTTTCCCCCAATGCATATGCATGGGTGAGAGCTGTCAAGAACAACTTGTGGAGGGATCGCTACGCGCGTGGAGCTTGCATTAACGGCGGCCAATATGGTCATCAACAGTATAGGTGCAAGAATGCAACGGTCTCTCAAAAGATCCCACCCACGTTGGGTGTTGGCGGATCTTCCATTCAGGGAGGTGATTCTACAAGCACTTCTTAGGGAAACACGTCGGGCCAGTAGAGGTTATAGTTGCCTCTACTCGTGCCACTTCAAGGGTTGGCCGAGGCTATTGACTCTCTTGTCACCCTGCAAACATGTCTAGACCAAACGATACTCTGTTCATTAAATGTGTGTGAAGCCGTAGAGAACCCGGAGAAGGAGTGGTCAAAGAAAGACACTCGTGAGTCCTGGGTGGCGATGTTTGTAGGTCCTAGAGGGGAGCATTTCGTTGTGGAAGTGAGTGTACTACCTCGAGGTTAGAAAGTGTGGTTCCTTCGCAGACATTGGCTCCATGCGAAACTTCGTTAGTCGCAACCGTGTTGAGAGGCTGGACTTAGGGACCAGCGACTAAGTAGAGTTGTAGCTTCTACCTTGGCCAACAAGGAGGGTATGGTAGTCCAGGACTACATTGACGACGTAGTCTGCAACTTCTCCTATGGAGGAGGGGAACATAATGATCAGATTTCGTTCTTGGTTAGCGACGACTTACCATTCGACATGTTGTTGGGTATGTACCACCTCGAGGTTGCACAACCCTAGTTTGATTGGGACCGAAAGATGCTTAAGCATGTGTTGCCGGATGAAAGGACCGTTAGACTAGCTAAATACAAGGCTAGCAGGTTAGTTGATTCCTACGGTTGCATGTGCGCGTCTGCGTTCTATAATAATTGTAAACAGAACCAAGAGGAGGGTATGTATCTGGTCTTCGCCTCTGAGAAAGGGGAGGTCGTTAAATCACCCCCAAAGATCAAAATTGTCGTTGCTAAGTACCCTAATATGTTCAAGGAGCCTTCAGGAGTCGTAGAGAGGGAAGTCATTCATGCCATAGAAATCATCTCAGGCAGTAAAAC